AACTGTATTTTGATTGTTATTTCTTTGGATACCTACAGCGGAGCGCATCGTTCGAACATACGTGACGTCATCAGAGTCCATTCCCTCCAATGGTTCGTTAGACTCCGGCATATCKCCTGGTACCTCCCCCCAAAGGCAAAAGGCGATACGTCTGCAGTTTGGACTAGAGAGGGGTGAGACCGGGAACAAGGCTGATCTCATCGACGCCATGTTATTGTGGGTTAGAGAAAGAAAGGTATGTTGCGCGCATCGATTCACGTGGAATGCTCAGTTCACATAAGGCGCAACCTGGACAATGGGAACAAACCATATTTCCAGATTATTTGAATAAAATGAGTCAACTAAAGATTTGGATACTTACCTGATCAGTGCCGCACATTTTTCTATATGGTGGTAAATGATGCCAAATCTGTAGTTGACTCATTTTATTCAAATAATTTATGTTCTTATCGACTATAGAGCATTCTGAAGACAATTGTTGTTCATAATTTTTATAATGGTTCTTCCAGTTTATATATATTCAATAATGTTTTATGAAGCTAAGAAAGGTTGTTCAAGAATCAACACTAGTAATTTTGTTGCTCAAAGCTGTCAAAGGTTTGTACTAAAACAGTTCACAGTTCAGTGTTGTCCTCATGTATTTTGTAGAAAACCATCGATAAAGCCGGTTATGGTTTGGATTTACCGTCGACTGAAAAATGTCTCCAGGAACATCACGGCCATCACGACATGATTATCGCATTTGATGATGAGCTGGCGAAGGCCAAACGATTTCAGGTTAGTTTAGACAAATAAGAACTTGAAAAAGGCACTTCTCCCTGTTCTTCCTTCACGAATTTGTAAGGTTTCTTGTGATTGGAGGAATAAAACAAATATTAAACAAATAGCTAGTAAACCAATCGGATAAGGTCTTGCAAAACCGTTAACATTACCGAACATTCAGCCCAACTAACAAACCGGCAAGCTAGCAAGAAAGCACAACGAGGCAAAGACTGTATTAAACATAGCGAAAACAACCAACATCGATCATACAAACGTACAACATCTGAGGTTGAAACATGTCGCCATCATGGATGACGTCAACGCTGAAAACCAGCGACGTGTAGTCTGTGAAAAGAAAATTTTACGAGATTCGTTTTCGTTTGACCGTGCAATGAAAATGAGTATTTAGTATTTGTTGGTAAAGAACAATAGAAAACAATATAATCAGAGTGCAAAACCAACTGTTAATCTCACTTTTCTTTCACGGTCAAATGAAAAAC